ACCAAAGTAAATGAGTTTGGCTGATCTATGGGACTTTCCTGGTGTGAACACTGCAAGGCTCTTGTTTCAGGAACTCTCTCAGTCCTGGGCAAACTAGGATGGTTGGTCACCTAGTTATGGGGACTCTTTCTAAGTGTACCCAGCCATCCTCCTTCCCTTTTCCCTCGCTTCCTCTGAATCACAACTAATTCATAAGCACGACTGCGATGGGCACAGTTCTAGGAACTGGGGACATATATAAAACTCTGAGCCTGACTTCACATTTTACTGAGGGAAAATAGTTGATAGACAGGACCAGTAAATAAGAATATGTAGTATGTTGGATGGTAATGAGTGCAGTGGAGAAAAAAATAAGGGAAGAAGAGGGGGTATGGGGGCTTACGCAGGGTGCTCGGCACAGGCGTTGTTGAGAAGGTGACATTTGGTGGAGAGAACCGAGCAGTTATCTGGGGGAAGAGTGATCCAGGCAGAGAACAGCATGGATGAAGGCCAAGAGCAAGGACGCTGGTGTGACCAGAGCAAGAGCAGGTGGGGGAAGAGCAACCGTGAGACCCGAGGTCAGAGACACAGCCGGGCAGTTGTATTCGGTACTATAGGCCACTGGAAGGGCGTGGGCTTTTTCTTCCAGTGAAAGGGGAGCCGTTGGAGGGTCCTGAGCAGATGCGGCATGATTTGGCGTAATGGGATCCCTCTGGTTGCTAGGCTGAGAACGTCATGGGTGCGGGGTGGCGAAAGGCAGAAGCAGAAAGGCCAGTCAGGAGGCCACTGCAATAATCACTACAGTTTAATCCTTGCTTCTAGAACTTTGCCAGGGATGGACACTAAGCACACCTCTGTATCTCCCAAATCTATGCTTTCCCCTATTTTTGAAAATTAAAGCCACATTTACTCTTTCACAGGCTCCTGACCCCCTTTGCCTTTCCCCATGAATCTTTAAAGCGGCTCACGTAGATTAAGGCTCCAACATCAAGTTCGCAAGCCTGTCAGTGCCCTGCCTTGTAACAGAGAGACTGGAGCTCATTCAACGTAGTGAGGAATGAGCTTCATTAGCCTCCAATTGTATCTTCATTGTGTTTGTCATTCAAGCACGTCATTCTGAGGGAGAAACAGCAGGGACAGGAGGCGTCCCTGTCCTATCCAGCCCTCCCTTTGTCACCATTGACGCTTTGGCTGTTCTAGGCCTGATGTGCAGCTTCATTTTTGATGATGTTACCAAGGGAACCCTTGTGTATACCTCACGGGTTTTACAAGTGTCAGAACACCTGTCTTTAACCTTCCCAGCGTGGCTCTTACCCATTCGTGCTATCCTTTTGCGGTTGCCCTTCGATTAATACCATCTCCTCGTATTTGTTACAGAACGGCTAACGTCGAGCCCTTACTCTGTGCTAGCCACGCCAGTAGAGGTTTCCCACACACGCCATTTCATTTCTTTCACTGCCACCTTACAAAGTGGATACTATTATCTGCACTTTACAAATTGAGATATGAGAACTCAGGCTAAATAATTTATCCAAGGTCACACAGCTAGTAGGTGGCAGGGTCAGGATTCAAATGCTGTCTGGTTCCAACGACTCTGTCTTCACCACCCTGCTCTACTAGATTCAAATTTATATTCTTTAAAAGTATGTCAATAATTTGCCGAGAACATAAGAACTTCTACAATCTGTGTGCAGATTTTAGAGCACTCCCAGTGCAGCCACTTTATTTTTAGATGCTGCCCTCTTTTTATTCAGGATAATTTATGACTTTATTGTCAGGACTTTGGTTTTAAAACCTCTTGAATTATATTGTCTTGAGAATTACAGCTTCTGATTCTTTTCTCTAACTTTTGAAACACACTATTTAGAAGTCTGGGTATATCTCATTTTGCCCCTTTATCCTTTCTGTCCTTAGATGCTATGAATTCTAAAATTCCGTAGTGGAGGTTCTGATCTCTTCCTTCACCAGGCAGTTCTTTGTTGGTCAGAATTATGTCCAGAGCAGACTTTGCCTATGGGCTTCCTTTGCTTCTGAGCTCAGACATCACCTGGTAAGTCAGGAGCTCAACACTGAGCTGAGCGAGGCACCAATCAAGTGTCTTCGGTCCCCACCACTACATCATCTGTCCTCATGACCATTTCTTAGCGCTGATTAGAAAACACGATCCCTATGGCCTCCTTCTGGCCAAGTGTCGTTCTCATGCCACAATGCCCTCCTGAGCCATTCTCTTTTTTGTCTTTATCCAAAAACTGGTTCCACTTGTCACCTTCCATTGCCAGCTAAGGTCGGGAATCAGCATCCATCCTCGCCCTCCTCTGCAAACTCCAAATCTTTGAGCCCCTCCAGGTTCCCTTTTCTACAGTCCCCAGCAAGGAACTCAGAGTTCTCCTCTGCCTTGTTTGCAGACATTTCCAATTGCTACAGTTCCTCACCCCCACCTGCAGCACCACTGTGCGCAAAGGGGCCTGGTGGTCTTGCTCATCGATGTGTGGGAGCTCTGAAGAGCCTCTATTGGAAAATGAAAGCTCCCGTGGCAACAGGAGAAAACAGTAGGTGGAGGGCATGCTAAGGAGCTATTCCTCATCCCCTC